TCCTCAGATTTATTCATATCCTTCCATTAAAGAAAAGGCAAAAATCACAAAAGTTAATCAAATATCTAGAAACTGAAAGAAGTAATAATAAATAAAAATCTGCTAAATTATCCATCCATCCATCATCTATACACCACTTAATCCTCACTAGGGTCATGGGGGGCTGGAGTCTATCCCAGCTGACTCAGGGTGAAGGCAGGGGACACCCTGGACAGGTCACCAGTCTATCACAGGGCTACACTTAGAGACAGACAACCAAGCACACTCACATTCACACCTACGGACAATTTACAATCACCAATTAACCTCAACATGTTTTTGGACCTTGTGGGAGGAAGCTGGAGAACCCGGAGAGAACCCACGCTGCACGGGGAGAACATGCAAACTCCACGCAGAAAGATTCTGGGTGTCCTCACCAGGACGCGAACCGGCGACCTTCTAGCTGCGAGGAAGCGGCGGTGCTAACCACTGAGCCACCTTGCAGCTGCTGCTAAATTATAATTTAGTGAAATAAGACATTGCTTTTGAATTGTGGTTGAAAAGAATAATTAGAAAAGCAAAAAAAAGAACTGTCCTGGACAAATGAGAGCACTTTGCTGATGAGCAGTGGGCCAAAATCAAAATAGCTGTCAACAGGTGCAGAAGTCTGACTGAGAGTTACAGAAAACACTTGATTGCAGTGATTGATTCAAAGGGTTGTTCAACTAAATATTCGTTTACGGGTCCCATGATGCTTGTTTGCTTGTTGTTTTTTTAAATGCTTTTTTGAAAAAAAAACTTTCTGTTGAACCACAATTCAAAAGCAATGTCATTAATTTTCATTAAATTTTTATTTATTATTACTTTTGTCAACTTATTTCCGTGACAGTTTTTTTTTTTTCCTTATGAATACATCAGAGGACGACTACATGTGGTCCAAGACTCACTTTTCTCCCCATCTCAGCTGTTCTCACTGTGCCAACCATCTTCCTGTGCTCTTTGTCTATCTGTCCATCAAGCCACGTATCCATCATGTTCATGTTCATATGCCCTTCCTTCCCAGCGTTCGCTCATCCATTTATCTCCCCATCCATGCATCTCAGGACAGAGAATCCAATATCAGTGTGCCTTGAGGTTACTCATAAGAGAGGATGAGACACAAAGACACAATAAAGAGCGAGAAATGATCGATGTTGGGAGGCTGGATCGACTGTCAGCGTTACAAAGCTGACGCCCCTCCTACCGCTCATGTTCATAAACCCTACGCACCTCAGAACACCCACTAACCCGACCTCTCCAGCACCGCTCTCTCTTCAATCACTTGGTTCACGCGCTCGAGCCAGTTTTCACATTGCTGCTTACGCATCTTATGGCACCAGCACACGGAAAAATGATAAGAACACCAGGGTCTTTACTTAACATACACAAGACAGACACTTGGCAGGAGATGTGTTTATGAACATTCATAAATACTCCCTTTCCATTACTAATAAGACAACAATGGCGAGGCCATATAAAGGCAAAGTAAAGGCTGCTGTGAACTCCCTGTGAATGTATAAAAATACAGTTCAAAGTCCTGATATAAATGAGAATCTATGACCCAATTCTGCATTAAAAAAAAAAAAAAAAGAAAAGGGGTGGGATGAGAGAGAGAGAGAGCAGGAAAGAACGTCCCCAGGGTCAAGACTCTCATTATCACATTCCATCCTGCAGAAGAAAGATCTCAGTCCCTGATTTCTGCTCTTTTGTTTACATGCTTCGCCCTCCGTTCTCTCTGCACATACGACACATCTCGACGATAAAACAAAATTAGGTTTGCAAATTTATATAAACACATCCCCTCACCGCTGAAATATTAGTGGGCTGTTACAACATGACCAACACAACAAGTATTCGTTATTCAGATAGCAGCTTGTGCCAACATAGAGGCTGCCAGAAGGTTGTCCTGAACTATTCCCTCAGAGGAAACATTTAGATACGGAGAAGCACCAGAGATCTCGTCGCTAATAAGGTCCTTACGCTGCTGTGAATGAAAATTTGTCCATTTAAAGGGCTTTGGACTTCAACCAAAGCCACAGTTACCACACTTGGGAAACTGAGCCAAACAAATAAATAAATTGTACCCAGATGGTGGTGTGACTATAACGCAATACTTTATGTTTTGGACAATAAGTTAATTAGCAGATTTAACCATGCATTCCTTATGTGATTATGCCATTATGGTTACACTGTATATGTCCAATTTTAATTAACACTATGATTCAGCTTCATATACTCTATAATTTATACCTATGATGTAATTATAGTAGTTCTGATTACGTTTGCTAATGCAGGAGCTTCAAAGACCGTAAGACTTCAATTCAGCTTCAGTTGCTGTGTCTGGATATTTTTGCCCTTTGAATCCATAATATCAAAGGCAAAGTATAATGAATATAAAGTTATCATATTAAAGGTACACATTTAGTCTCAAGAGTTATTAGGTTTCAAGATCCCAGCTTCTCAGATCTCACTGATGCTAAACTATAAAAGGTGCAGCAGCTCAGTGTTGCTGTGTTCAGATGAGACTTGACCTTCTATGACGTTAAACAGCTACCAACCACAGGCATATTTTCCAGTGGAACATTGTAATATTTAAATGTTAGTTAACCATATCCATCACTCGAAAGGTCGATCATCAGCCCACAGTGCAAAATCCAGTCAAACAAAGTCTGTCCACCAAGATCCACATGTGAGCTGAATGAACTGAGCTCATTCGTTTTAATAAAGAAGTTGGAATGGCAAAATTATTACACACATCAATCAGCCATAACATTAAAACCACCTACTATCGTGTAAATCCCCCTGCCTAGACAGCTTTGACCAGCCGGGGCAAGGACACGGGACCTCTGAGTGCTTCCTGTGGTGTTTGGCACCAGCAGATCCTTTGGGTCATGTGGGTTGTGGGAGAGGGGTTCTCAGCCCAGAACAATGTTTATTTGAGTGGTACATGCTAAAATAATCTGCACATGAATTCCAGGACCCAAGGTTTCCCAGTAGAAATATGGCATTGTAACAAGATGATTGATGTTTGTCAGGGGTTTTAATGTTGTGGGCGATCAGTTGACGTTGTCCAGACTTACAAGCACCTGGGAGTGAGTCTGGACAACAAGCTGGAGTGTGTCCGCTAACACAGAGGCTGTCTACAAGAAGGGCCTGAGCCAGCTCGACTTCCTCAGGAGGCTAAGGCCCTTCAATGTATGTGTAGGAGCAGATCAGGAAATGCTGTTCTGTAGTCGGTGTGACTGGGTCTCACGTTAATGTGTTGATTGTCAGTTTTGTCAGGTCGGAACCTTTCTGTCTAGGTAGGGTTTCCAACCGGAAGGGGACCAATCAGTTTTTGACCACTGAGCGACACGCTCAGAGTTACTGGATGTATGGATGTTGACTGAAATATACACTTTTTTAGAAGATCTGGATATCAAATAAAGCAACTATGTGCATTGTAAAGCAATAGAAGTTTGACTTTAATTCATCAGCCAGTGTATGGCTGGTGTAGTGTATGGACTTGGGTGAGAGTGTACGAGTGAGAGAGGGTGGGCTGCCCTTGGGGCTGGGTGAGAGGGTGTGTGAGAGAGAGTGAGTATGAAGGGGGTTTCTTCTGTCTTTTTATATATTTATTAAGTTTTATTAGTCTCAAGCACTGACCAAGAGTGGCAACTCTAATGTCATTGTGTTTGATACTATGTATTTTATGCAATGACAAATAAAGCTTCTATTCTATTCTATTCTATTCTATTCTATTCTATTCTATTCTATCAGACATAGGTAATATAGCACGTCAATTAAGTTTTCCTGTTTGGATTCCCTCAGTGGCTTCAAGCATTGGCTTAGCCTCTACAGTATGCAGCCGCATGCTACTAATGTTTTATCAGTCTGTGGTGGCGAGCGCCATCTTCTTTGCCGTGGTGTGCTGGGGCGCAGGCATCACGGTGACGGACGCCAACAGACTGAACAGACAGGAAAGCCCAGTCTGTTGTTGGTCACCCTGGAGGAGGTGGTGGAGCAGAGGAGGCTGACCAAACTGCTGGTCATGATGGACAACACCTCCCACCCCCTCCATAACACTGTGGACAATCTGAGGAGCAGCTTCAGCAACAGACTGATACAACCCTGCTGCTCCAAGGAATGTTACAGGAAATGATTCCTCCCGACAGCAAGGAGACTTTTCAATGCATCTGGCAGACCGCAATAGGACTCTATCACTTTATCTGCTGATGAACCCACTGTACATACTGGACAGTCTACAGTCTAACCTCACTGATTATATCTGTAAACTTATTTGCACCTACTTAAATCTAAGCACATCATCATTTGCTCTAGGGCTGGATCCGAATAGCCGATTATTCATTCGCTGTGGTGGGATCGGGATAGCAATTTTGATCTCCGAATATTTCCCCCCCAAACATTCGGGATATTTGGCATTAATTGGGCCGAACAGAAATTGCTATTGGGACCAATTTGCACATTCTGTTCATTTACACATTTCTGTACCTCTCTTGTATATTCTTGTAAACTAGGTAGACTTTTCTTTCTATATCTAATTTTATTTTACCGTCATTTTATACCCTAATACCCCTAATATCCTGTGTTGTCTTTTTGCTTTCGTTTACCCCCTTTTGTTGAATATTCATGCTGCTGTAACAACTGAATTTCCCTCTGGGGATTAATAAAGTCAGTCTAAGTCTATATGCATCCTGATTAATATTAGATTTAATGCAACTAGCAATGTCTTGAAATTTGCATGAATAAATGTCACAGCCGTGTCACCAATATCTACTGCACACAACATATCTTCAGCGTTACGCTTTAGCTGTTGAGTATGCGTGCTGAAGTCTGCAGGAAAAACAGATGGAAAACTGCACTCTGTCATGGCCCTTGTTAATAAAGAGTTTCTCCTGCACAGCATCAAAAGCTGCAAAAAAAACCCAAAAAAAAAACACAGCAAACTGACAGTTGGTTCCTCTGACTGGGGTGAGTCCTACCTTCAAGGCAGCAGACCTCTTCCGCAGCAGCTGTTCTATGTTCCTCGCTGCTCTGGCCACCAGCTCCTCCGCATCATTTTGCTCCACGGTGTAGAGGTGCGAGTTTCTCTGAAAAATCTAGACAAACAGAGAAAAGAGACGATGTACACGATCACACATGTAACTGATGACTCAATAAATCCTGATTTTTTTGTTTGTTTTAGTCAGATAAAATTTGATTTGATGTTAACATAATGTATCTACAGTTGTGACTCGATAATCCGACACTAAATATAAAACCTTCTTTTATGTCGGATAGCAAAGCTGTCGAGATACAAGGAGGGCTTGATGCTTGAAGGCTCATTTGTTGTTAATATTTATTGTTTCTAGTTGTTATAATAACTAGTGTATTGTTAGAACACTGCGCAATGCTGGATTTCACGCCTACTTGACCGGTGCGCTTGTACATGTTCCCCCGGGGTGGAAGTGGCCGGAACGCACAGGCAGTACTTGGCTGCTGTTAGCGGTCACAGTTCTGTTTCCACCATCGGTGGTGGCGGTGGCGGTGGGGGAGTGGCGGATACGCTCCACCGTTACCATCCATGTTTACTTCCATGTGTGACGTCGTCGTGTCCTCTTCTGCGCATGTGGGACACTTTTGGGTCGTACACATTTCACACAGCAGATCACATACAAGTCGCCTTTAATTGGAAATATGAACGAACTTGCAAAAAATCGGATTTCACAAAAAAATCTGAATTGAGCATGAAGTCCTGCAGTCTGAATGTAGCCAATCTGTCGGATTGTTCAGTCAGATAATACACCGTTATCCTTATTTGTGACATAAAATGTCATGTCGGAGTCAGAACCCAAGGCTGTCGGTATGTTAAGGCTGTTTTTAATGGGTTCTGTTCGTTTTCCCTAAAAACCTGTCAGGTAGCAAGGTTTCTGCTTGTTAAGGGTCGGATCATCGAGTCACAACTGTACATGTTGTTTCTAGGTTTTTTTCAATCAAAGAAATCCAACTTTGATTGTTTGCTTCTTGTGATTCATGGCATTATAATTGTATCATACTTTATGGAAGACATTTTTGACTTCTCTCTACTTCTAGCCATGGTTGTGCTGTTTCTATATTATATTTATGCCATATCTATATCTTATATTGCAGCAAGGAATAAGCCCATAGTGCTTAATAATATAAAGCAAACCAAGAAATACTGAAAACCTTGCTACTCGACAGGTTTTTCTAAAAACCTGTCAAATAGCAAGGTTTCCGGATTGTTAAGGGTCAGATCATCGAGTCACGACTATACTTGATGCAACGGCATATGTAGGGAGATCCATAGCAGTGTTAAATTTGGATTATGCGCTCTCTTTATGCATGTCTGTGTGTGTGTAGCCTTTAGCTGTTTATACCTCAGTGAGGCTCTTCCCAGCTGTGGCCGTGTCTGCCAGGGTGACGAGCTCTTTCTGCATCTGATCAACCCATTCTTTAATCCTGTGGGGACAAAGCAATGCACACAACCCATCCTTGTAACTCAGATGCAACGAGTTTAGAAGAGACATCACACAGATTTCACAGCGCAATTAAACTGTCAATCAAGCAATCTTACATCTATCATCCGGACCGTCCAGTCGCATGGCATCAAAACAAACAAGGCCAAAGAGAATCGCTCTTACGGGTCGGGCAACATGTCAACCAATCAAACCCGAAGCACCGGCAACAAATACGATGTCATCCAATAAAACACGAGTCACTGGGTGTCAACCAATACGATTAGTTTGTGAGAGTTCAAACACAAAGTCAACCAATCAGATACGTGTCAGCAAGTGTTGTGACTGGTGAGAGTGATGTGAGTGGACAGGCGAGAGGTGTGAGGCAGCCGGGACCAACATGCTGCTCTGGAAGAGATCAGCGTTAGCTCCGGCCTCTCAATGCACTGGATGTATAACAGGAACCAGATAACAGACTCAAAGATGGCTCCCGCTCACTTGAATAACAATTATTGGCCTGATACATAAGCCAGATAAGTTTTCTAGCTTCCAGCTTTGGTTCAAAACTAAATAAGCTCAGCGCATGCATCATACTGGCGTGGTTTATCTCTCCTTAATAAAGTGGCCATGGACAGAGATTGGTAAGAGGAGAATGATGAAGGCCAAGGATATCAAGCATTAACGCCCTAAACCCTAAAACTCACCAGTGGGTTTGAAATGCATGGTATCTTTTTTAAGAAATCACTTAAATTACGCGATTTATCGGAGCCAGAAACTGTAAAAACAGAAAGAATCATCAGAGTTTCAACTGTCTGATGATTACTGAACTACACATGTGTGACATACCATCCAGTCTAAAAGCTAAACCAGATCTGAGTTTATAACTGTGAGATTTTACCAAAAACACTTTATTCCACAGGTATCATTTTAAAAAAACAACAACAGTTTTGCAGTGACTACAGTTGGTGAAAAACAAACAGTTCTGTACTTCTTGGTGGAACCATACAACCAATATTTACTCAGCTGCAACCAACAGTCATCTGACAAACATTCAGGAACTTTTTGAAGACAGCAGACGAGTATGAAAACAAATTAGAAATGTAACTGATAAAATATTCATAAGATGTAGAGCAACCATTCTTCCAGTACTGATAACACCTGTGCACACTTGGAAGAATGCTATACAGTCGTGACTCGATAATCTGACACTAAATATAATATCTTCTTTTATGTCGGATAGCAAGGCTGTCGGATTGTCAAGATGGAGGTCGAGATACAAGGAGGGCTTGATGCTTGAAGGGTAGTTTGTTGTTAATTATTGTTCATAGTTGTTATAATAACTAGTAGGGCTGTTCCGAATAACACTTTCTGGTCTCTCGATATTCAGGCCCAATTAATGATGGCTATGCGAATATTCTAAGTGGTCAGGGGAGGGGGGACACTTCCACCCCAGGGGTGCGCTCCGACGGGGTGGAAGTGGCTGCAAGGCACAGGCAGTACTTGGCTGCTGATGCTAGTTTAGTTAGAGGTCACAGTTCTGTTTCCACTGTCGGTGGCGCCGCCGCCACCACCGCCACCATTGTCACCACCCATGTTTACTTCCGAAAACACTGAGCACGCTCGCTGCGTGTGACATCGTTGTGTCCTCTTCTGTGCATGCGGGACACTTTTGGGTCGTATGAAGTTCACACAGCAGATCACATACAAGTCGCATTTAATTGGAAACGTGAACGAACTCGCAAAAAATCCTCATTGAGCATTAAGTCCTGCAGTCTGAATGTAGCCAATCTGTCAGATTGTTCAGTCAGATGATACGCCATTATCCTTATTTGTGACATAAAATGTGAAGTCGGAACCCAAGGCTGTCGGTATGTTAAGGTTATTTTTAATGGGTTCCGTTCGTTTTCCCTAAAAACCTGTCGGATAGCAAGGTTTTCTGATTGTTAAGGGTCGTATTATCGAGTCACCACTGTACATGTTATTTCTAGGTTTTTTTTCAATCAAAGAAATCCAACTTTGATTGTTTGCTTTTTGTGATTCATGGCATTATAATTGTATCATACTTTATAGAAGACATTTTTGACTTCTCTCTACTTCTAGCCACGGCTGTGCTGTTTCTACATTATATATATGCCATATCTATATCTTATATTGCAGTAAGGAATAAGCCCATAGTGCTTAATAATATAAAGCAAACCAAGAAATACCCAGAAACCGTTTGGGGGTTAGAGGATAAACAGAAACAGTGACCTGGTAGAATAATCAGACTCATGTGGAAGTGAACCTCGTACGATAGGATTTCAGGAGCCAAGCGCTTGTGCACATGTAGATCCATTAATTCACCATATTGTACGGTTTGCTGCCATGCATGCACTCCCGTTCACGTGCGAGTGTATCTGAGTGCATCCAGATAATGAGACAGTTCCATTAATAATGTATGAGAATGATAACAGGTTGGCGTAGAATACAGATTGCATTCACTTTAACACAGATTCAAGTGCGATCGTCCCCAGTGGTAAAGAGACGTATCATCCCCGCACACACTGACTGGAGTAAACATAGAAAACCGGATATTCGTGCTCGGAAAATATTCTCAGAAGCTGTCATTGCGGCGGGGTAATGAAAGTCAATTTACAGTAGGTGCAAAACATCAACAGTGACACTCAAGACAGCCAAGGGTGGTAAGAGAGAAAGGTAAGGTGGATCAAAAAAAAAAAAAGCCACAAGAACTGGGAAAGATGCATCAGAGGCACAAAATCCACAGTGGATGTGAGAAATTCGGTGCAAGTATACTCGTGGAGAAAGATGAGACATCCTGCAAGGGAGGGAATACCAGTGGGGATAGCGCAGTGTGAAATTCTGTTGTTTAGAAGAAGCTTAACGAGTAAAAGTCAAGACATCTTGGTCGTTGCTTCTCTAATTCAGATTTGCAAAAGGGGGGCCTCTTGAACTCCCTCATCACTTTTGGGGGGGAAGGTCTTCCACTGTGGAAATGTCGTGACCTGTTGTGATCAACACATGAAAAGCTAACTGTGTGATGTCTATGCATAACTGTTAGACCCGATTCTTGAAGCCCAAGAACAAACCAGAGAAATCTTCAATTCTCAGATGTAGAATTTGTTCAGGTCACAGGTAAAGTGAGGCAGCGCTAGAATTCAGAGGGACAGAGAGCAATCCCATGTCCAGCTGAACTGAGTTTTTTTTGGGTTCAGGTTACAGATATCTTCTTGTGCTGGGACTGCCCCGTACAGTACAGTCAGAGGTTGGACTTGTACGCTACCGGTTTAATCGGCCAGTTACTGTGACGTGAACAGGCTAGCCACTGTGGAAGTTTACTATCAAAGACTTAGTGCATTTTGCATTTAAAAGAAATTTGCCAGTAATGTTTACTTGATTATTTTTAATTAAAAAAATAAAATAAAATAAAAATCTTGCTGGCAAGTAAACTTTACTTGACATTTTTAAAAATTACCTCGCTGTTTTCAAGTAAATGGCACTCCAAATGTTTTCAGTGTCCAACCTAATTTTCATAGTGGACTCTTTTTGGTGGATTTCCTCAGTTGAGTTCTTTCCAATTTCTGGTCGGGTTTCATTTCCAGGGTTGTGGTCATTGTCAGTCAGTCAGTGAGGTTCTTAAGTCTCAGTCAGTGTTCTGTCTGTAGGTCTGAGTCAGCGCACAGTGTGTCTTATGGAACCAGTTGCTCATCCCATCTTCTCTCAACCATACCTTCACCTTTAAAATAAAAACCATTCTCAATCTGCTGAAACCCTCTCTACCTTCTTAACTACTTTCTCTGCATTCCCTCTTTGCATCCTTTCTGCATCTTCGTGTTTGCTCTTATCTCTCCTCACACTCTGCTGCTGTCTGCTGCAGAAACAAGTTGAAGTCTGTCTTGGTGGAGCTGTGGCACAATCTCCAAACATTCCTTTCTCCTACATTCCTCTTCTCCAATCTACAAATCTCTCTAACCCCTTCTTATTCTCATCTTTTCAAATTTTCTTTAACCACCTTATCGTTTTCAACCAGTACCGACCCCAAAAAGCTGGATTGACACTCGATCTACAACTTTCTGTGACGTTTCAATGATTATTACACGTATTATTCAAAGGGGATGAATGGCACGAGTGGAGGACCCAATCAAGAACCTTCTACATGGAGTCTAACACCCCGTGTGCTTGATAGTTGAGGGTTTTCCAGCCTGTTCACTCGTTTTAATTCACCACCCCAAATAACACCCTAAATAAAATATCCCCTTTTATGCTCATCCAATCCACATGCACACAACTACTTCAGATCTGTGTTAGTGCTGGAATTCTCGAGCAGTCTGGACTGTCCGATACGCTGACACATGCACAGTAAAAATATCAATCAAGTAGGAAACCACCCCACATCTGTATGAAAAATAACGAACTTATCACCGTGTTCCTATGAAAAGTAAACTTATCCCTGAGTCCTCATTAAGATTTTTATCTTCTCAATTATGCCGGCATTTTATTTACATATATATTTTTGAAAATGTCTCTCTTTTTTTTTTTTTTTTAAACTAAAAATACTCGAGTCTTCACCTAAATGTGGTGGAATAACTTATTTATTTATTTTATTTTTTTATTATACTCATCCGCTCAACGGGGGTCTTCGGGCCAATCCCCAGAATTTTTTTAATTTTTGTTTTTTTTATAAACAATACTTGAGTCTGGAATACCGTTTCACAAAATCTCACTTGTGGGAGTCTCTAAGCTTTTCATAAATGGCCAATTTCACTAACCAGGACACTTATTCACTTTCCCTCACATGAGACGATGTGTTTAACACGTTACATGTGACCATTTCAGTAAAAATATCAAACAATCATTAATCATTCCCCAAAAGAAAATTACTACGCTTTTAGTGATCAGAGATTAATGTTATTCAGACCATTTGTTTTGGTATGTCCAATGTGCTCACCTTTTTGTTTTAGGCGCCTGGAATAATCTGAAAAAGACTCATCGCCAATCGACTCCGGCGGTCCTCAATCGGACGTGGTCTCAGAGTCAACCAATCCGGGTCACGGCACCAAAATTACAACACAACTCAGGGATCACAGTGCTATGTGGACATGCAACTGGAACAAACCAGCACTAAGAGAATGGTGGAAGCAAGCCTCTTCCTCCACAACGCCTACTTTCCAGTCCAAAGTTCTGGTTTTAGGTTTACCGGCCACATTTATCTGGCTTATGAAAGGTGAAATAACAGAGAGGAGGTGAAGCTGATCTCACCACCAGTAAGGCAGATAATTGTTATACGCTGATAGTTGACTTCAAGGTCTTTATTGCGGCTGAACCTTTGGCTTATTAACTTGTAGGAGCAGCCATGTTCTTTGTTGATCGATATCTGTTGTAAAATGACTTATTTTTTTACTTGTGGGGAAGTCTATCTCGTCTAAAACAAACATATTGTCTTTGAAGAAGAAACATGGCCTTTAGGAGGGTTTGAGCTTCAAATGAAACAGGTCAGGTCTGAAAGGTGCAGATGGTTTTGGTCAGATTTACACCAACACAGAACTCAATCCAAGGAACTCTGTGATACTTTCCCTTTTATTATTCTCATACTGCATATTAATTGCATGCTTAATTTCCACTTTACCTCACATGCTGCTGGGTACACAAGTAGTGCATTTATTAGAAGATATGACAGCAACACAACACTTCCTCTCCTAACTTCACCCCTCCATGCTTCTCCCCTCAGGCCCACTTTTCTCTGTCCCCAAATCTACTAACTGTAGGTGTTTTAGTGGACCTTGGACCCATAAGCTCTCAGAGCCTGGAGCACTGACACGTCAACTGTGAGTTAGAGGTGTGTGTGTGTGTGTGTGTGTGTGTGCTTCCACAGACTTGACATTCAGAGAAGTAGAGGGCCTTCTCTCCCGAGTTTAGCTTCTGTTAAATCTACTGCTACCAGTGTAAATCTTTATAACAACAACTCTCAGGTGCTGACAAATGGATGAGACAAGCCAGGCTGTGGTGCGCTATGTGTGCATGTGTTCTTCTGCACATTCAATATGGATGACATAGACTTTTTTCTTCTTTTTTTCTTTTGCTGGGGGCTTTTGTTTGAAATCTACTTAGAACATTTTTGTCAGAGGATTCATAAAAGTGTCTCATCTGCAGATTAGCTGTGCCTAAGTCTCGCGCGATACTAAACGTCTCGTGTGTTTATTTGCTTTAAGTGCTCGCTAAGAGGCTCGTTGTACACGGGGAAGGGGAAGAAAACACAAAGTCGTGCTGTCGCTTTTTTTTTTTTTTTTGGATGGATAGTTGCAATCAAATCTTTTTGATGAATGTAAACGAATAACATGAGAAAACCTCTGCGCAGCTCCTCAGCCTTTAAGCATGCATTTCTAAGCATCCCTTGAAGTCCCAACCTCAGTTAATAACAGTGAACGCTGGGAGGTGAAGCCTGCTCTCAGCCCATCACGGCTAATAAAGTCAGATTACTTGTAATGTATCTCATTTTAGCTTTTTCCACACGAAAACAAACAAGACAAAGTAGTGATGCTTAATGTCTGATCATGTTTCTCACTTTCGGCGCAACATTATGAGGTGGGCTCTTATCAGTGGCTATAATAACCTGGTGATTTAGAGAGGCCTGGGTGGAAAAAAAGAAAAAAAAAACAGTAATAAAGTCAGTGTTGTTGAGCTGAGGTAGCAACATTTTTCTGCTCTGGTTGCTGGGCTTTGATTACTGCAGCCTGTAGTACAATGTTAGATAATTAAACACACACACACATACGTACACATGCAAACGCACAGACAAATGGCAACTGGGTCAGACACTGGCCTACATTGTTTTACAGACACAGGAAGAGCAAATGAGAGCGAAAAAGAAGAGGCAGAGAGTTAACACAAGAAAGACGGAGACAGATGTTTTGGCACAATCATTTTTGGAACTGGAGAGAGTAATGAGCTTGGCCCATAGTGTGCATCTCAGTGGGCGGCTGTGTGAAACTACAGTCTAATTACACATCATTACGGAGGCAAAGGCAGAAGCAGTCCGGTCCAGACAGCAAAGCGGAATGAGGCATGGAAACACCAACTGTAATGCACCAAAACAACCCGCGGTGCTCTGCTCACACTCTGTAGCCTCTACACAAACACCCAGGTGGCCAATTCAGTTCTTGTTCAGCCTGACCCAGATACTAAACAATGCTTTGATATGAAGTTGAGGATTTCGGATCAAACTCTGACCACCTCATCAACCCTCAAGTCTGGGAAAGTTCTGCTCATCGGGTTTGTTGGATATTCTACAGCCAGCATCAGTTATGAACTCAAAACAAAATCTGGTCTTCCGAGGAAGCAGTTTTCCCGCTTTTTTTTTTTTTTTTCCCGCTTTGAAATGTTGCTCCAGACATCTGAGGAAGTGCAAAATGATTTGTCTCCAAAGTATAGTAGAACAACAGAGCTATTTAGGACCGTAAGGAGACAGAACAGCGCCTCATTACAGTTTGCCAAACTGCTCATCCCTAATGAGTATATGTTTCCTCTCCATCCATTTGATCAGCGTAATTCAAAACGGTGCACCTGATGAATAAAAATCCAGTTCATCCTGATTTCTTTTGCCTCATTTCAAGCTTTCTATTGCGTCTCATCAGCATGCCCTCCAAACAAAAAACACATTTTCTTTGGTTTTCAATTCCTTTCCCTTCAAAAACACATTACTGCTACGCTTATATTCCTCTCATATCCCTTTTCTTAGTGATATATGCAGGGCACAACCATACATCTGCTGATCACTTTTAACTCCTTTGTTCACTTCAAAAATCTATTTTTTTGATTACGAAGAAGGACTAAATGAGAGGTTGTAGATTTTCCTCTGTGCTCCACAACCATTCAAAAAAAAAGAGGAGAGCCCATGGAAGTATAAAGGCTTCCTGAATGACTGAATGGTTCCCAAAGCAGACTTCCTTTTATTTATTTCCTTTGCTTGCTTCTGAATGCTAAACCGTCTCACCTGCAAGCATCTTGTAAACACGAGACGTCTAATGGAGCTGATTTGGTGAACATATTTACTCATTTCCCACTGAGCAGATTTCTCATTTAGCACAAAGGCTGTTACCCGTTCAGCAGTTCTTCGCTCTCGCCATTAGGTTGTACAAACGCACGGCTGTTTGCTGTGTATACCAGGACAGTCTGCCTTCTATTGAATCAGTGGCAATTACATTTGGGTTTCCATATCAAGAGTGAATCTGAAATCTCATTCATTCATGCATTTTTAAGAATCGTTCTGCCCTCAGTGATGGATTGGACAAAATGTTTTTTTTTTAAAAATGATGCCAGCATTTCAAACTTTTTATTCAAGTAAACCAGAGGACATGACTTCTGGATTTTCTGCGTTATTCAATTTCCAATAAGGTGCAGCCTCACCACAACTCTAAACAGAACAATCAGCTCTTATTTCTTAATTGACTGACAGACAAATCAACACTCAAACAGCAATTACATCTTTTTTTTTTCTCCCCCCTGATGCTGGTTAAGCTCTATGCTATGTTGATTTCCCATCTGGGATTCAGACTCTTGCATTATAATAGTGTCTGTTCCTTTGATTGAAGATGCTCAAGAAAACCATACCAACACTAAATCCGATCTGCATTTCAAGAGGACTTATGTGTGAAATCCAACAGTTGAGGATGAGAAATGCAGCAATTCTGCAATATTTCTCTTGTTAGGGCTACCAGACGTTTAAAACTCAAAGGGGCCACACAGACAAAAGGCCAACTTTTTATTGTCATTTTACATAAAGCAGCGATCGAAGTCACCGTAAAACTCCAACCACAACTTCTACAGAGGAGCTGTCACTGCTCTCTGTGGCGACAAAAAAAACTGCTGAGCGGCATGAATCAACGGGCGGAGGTGAGGAAGCGTCCAGCACCCTCCGCGCGTCTTCCTCCAGATGACCACCGGCGCGCATGAATGGAGCGACCTGCCCACCACACACTCTCACACCCACGTAAACCGAGCAGCCGAGACACACACACACACATACATACCGAGTGGATTTGTCTCTAAACGGTGTGGAACAAGTAGTGTGCCACACAAAAAAAACCCATATCGGGGTCGTAATAGGATTAACCAGGAGCTTCTTTTTTTTTTTTTTACTTACATGAGCTGTGTCGGGAACTGCGATGCCAAACAAACGTCCTGACATAGCAGGACTAGAAACACCCAGGCTCGTACCCTGCAGGTATCCATTGTAGAATAAATAAATAAATAAATATATAAATAAAATAAATAAATAAATAAAGCGAGGGGGGGAAATTCCCCGACGCGCGTCAATATCCAATCTTCTGCTGCTTCCCCCCCTTTCCGCCGCCGATGAATGGAGCGATGCGCGGAAAAAAAAAGCAGCGTGTGTGGCCGTCTGTCGCTGCTTCACAGATTAACCAACACTGACACCTCTAATCTGATCACTCGGCCATCCAGCGCTCTAACAGGTACTGCTGGAGATTTCAGACTCCCTCCCTTCTCTCGCTCTCTCTCTCTCTCTCTAGCTCTTCCTCTCTCTCTCCTGTTGTCCCTGCTCCTTCTCAGTCTACCGAGAAAAAAATAAAAATAAAAAAATAAAAAAATCCAGTCATGGGTACTTCTGTGTAACACTCATCTGCGCCTTAACTGACTTTACGCACCATCCCTGATTTTTACGCACCATCCTTAATATTGTTGGGCTACAATATAATCATTCCAAACAGCATTTAAGCAGCAAGAAGATTTGTTTTGGTCCTTGAAAGCACCACAGTATGCTTTCCCCCTTCCTCTTGCCCTCACTGTGTTCAGCATTCCATATTGTGAGTAACAGATTGTTTTTTACCTCCCTATAAAGAAACACCTGCTAAAAGGAGGGTCTGACTGCAGGTACCACCCACACAACCATACGCATGCTGAATACAGATACGTCCTTTCTTTTTTTTTTTTTTTGCTTTTTAAAATGCCTTACAACCTGCAACCTGGAGGTATGGGAGAATTTACTTTGCTTTGATTGCACAGCCATTATCAAGTGCTCCTGGCAGCATGGGAGGCGAGCTGTCCCACACGAGAATGGCTGCCGGAGTGACAGATGTATTGATTTCACGCGTACAGTGTAAAATCTGATGAGCAGAGTACAGTAAAAGCCCGATAACTGTCAGCGCCGGTCGTCGTACCTGTTTTATAAGGTGAAATTTGTGGCCGTGTGCTCTGCAGCCCAACACAAATGCATACGTTGTGGTGTGTGTGCAGGCTCTGGCTCAACTGCAGTATACAAACATCCCAGCTTTACATCATCTTAGACTAAAAAGCATCAACACTTTGAATAATTGAATAACAAGTGAAATCATAAACCTACTTTCTGTGTGTGTGTGTGTGTGTGTGTGTGTGTGTGTAATTCAGGCCTGGAGGGAGGGCAGGGCAGCACAAGCAGGATGCTTGGGGATTTGGTTATCAATCGTTGCTTGGCAACCACACACCATCTCTCTTGTCCTCTCACCCTCCCCTCCTCCCTTTCCCCATTTCTCTCTTTGTCTCTCCCTCCCCACCTATCCACTGCTCTCACTGTACTGCACTGTTGCTCCCCCCCCACCCTCCACCCCACCATTACTTTCTCCCCTCTTCTCACCCCCACTCGCCTCCCCCCCGTCACATCACCTTCCTCATGTTTTCTCTCACCACACCTTTCTCACACTCATTTCCCCTCGCAGACGGAAAGGATGCACCCGCTGATGGGATGGAGAAAAAAAATATATAATTGAATGGTGAAAACTGGAGAGGGGGCATGGAGTGGAGGGACATAATAGCAAAGAGGAGTGTGAAGAGGATGGAGAGGTGGATGTCTCTTCTGCAGACATCCTCATTCAGGACTTTCTTTTTTTTTTTTTTTTTTTATTAATTGGGAGTAGCTCTCAATACAAGCTGTATTGGGAGGAGGCATGTCACATTGTCACCGGCACTGTTACACTCCTTCTCACACAGTCTAGGATTTATTTTTGGTAAAAGACCTGAATTAAATGTGGCATCTGCCAGACAGACCCTGATAGACTGAATCTGTTGGATGCAAGTATAGCGTCGTCCACAGAGGATGGTTACATGACTCAAATCATTACATATTAGAGAATGTAATTTATGCAATAAATGAGAATTTAAATAACAAATAAGTCCACTGATTTTCATACAGAAATCCACCAACAGCATCAACATTGCTACGTTATAAGTAGAAAATAGAAACCACTTTTTGCATATCAGCCTAATAAGCTGATCCTGAAGAGAGCAACTTGTACACTTAACTAGCAATAATGTTGATGTGAGCAAGAATCAGTGGTTAAAGATCAGCTGGGCAGTCCAGTGAAGACTGGGGTTATCTGACAGAGGATACTGCCATCTGGTGGTGGTGCAGTGAAATCACAATCATTGCAGTAAAAGAATGATGGATTAAACCAGCTGCACTATTACAGAGAATTAAACACAGTCTATGAACTCTTCTGTTATATATATACATGTAACACATATTCTTACTTTAATCACTATTATATTTTTATATTACAAACAAATCTGAGTTAATAAACACGGAGCCTCTGAGGCACTAAATACTTTCTTTCTCCGAAACCCCACTCACATCAAATTACTGTAAATCATGTGTCTGTGGATAAAATTGAATTAGTTAAACAGAAATGAATATAAAGGACATAATGTAATTGAATGTAGCCCACAACATCTGTAAGCAAACATCAGACTTATTGAGAGTAAACCACTGAACTAATTAACAAACTTAAAATCGAGACAGAAAAAAGTAAAGTCATGACATGCACCGACTACTTAAAAAAAAAAAAAAAAATTTCACAGGGTGCTTAGGTCTCTCAATAAAGCAGAAAAGCAATAACAGCAGAAGGAATTGTAATAATAATTTAAAAAAATGTAGTAGATTTTGTATACTAGTAATGAGGAGCATGGCGTTGTGGCTGTCTGAGCTACAGTGAAGCGACATTTCTGACAGGACACTTTGTCACATTTAACCATTTTTATAAAGAATGACATGCATTTGTGGAGCAATCTGAGCAGGCATGACACAGACAGTCTCTGAGATCACAGACCCCCCAAACCTGTGTTCCCAGAGGGAGCAGCCGAGCTGAGTCACCTGCTAGTGAAATGGAACATAATGGAATTGTCCTATGTGTTGTGACAAGCTTGTCCCATTTCTTTTCAAATCACGTGAACCTGCACGACCTTCTAATCTGAATGCAGCAAACCAGTGGCACCGTGAATGCAAACAGAAGGACATCCACCGAGTCATGCTTACAGTGAACTGATACAAGGGAAGTATGGCATGTGAGGTATGAGGCTAAGTGTGGGTTGAAGTGTGTCTCATTTCCTGTGAGTCTATAAAAGCCAGCATTGACCTTCTCATCTGGATGGCTTCAGCAGCTTGCTGAATTTGAACAGATAAACATTCAGAAAGATGCTATTCAAGTGAGCTGATACAAAGAAAATATACCATCAAGCGTGATGCACTTCCTTTGAGTCGTGCAGGGATGACCTTCTCATCTGAATGACGGGACTGAGCTTTGTGCTGAACGCAAACAGATGAACATGTGACAAGACGCTAGTAGTGACTGCAGCGTCTCTAACAAAGGAAATACTCTAAACAAATACTCCATGCATGGCTTCTGAGCTGACAGTATGTTGTTGGCATCTGGGCAGATAAACCGTACACATCCTACAGAGGACCGTGGTGAGTGGAGGGTGGACCTGGAGAAGCAGAAGTGCCAGTGCAGAAGGAATGGATTGTGTAGCTTAAGAGAGAGACCACAGTGTTAGCACAGGATGTACGCAAACCTACATCTGAACCTCACCTACTGCATTGGTTAGCCTTTCCAGGAACCAAGTCGTAGAAAAGAAGGAATTGGTTCGGGCTATAACTATCGGTGCACCTGTGTCATAATAAGTAGTTTTCAGTGCTCAAGGTTAATGTAAACATGCTCAGCTGAGGAGACTGCAGATATAGTGAGGGTCATGCAAGAGATTAAACCTCTCAGAGCATGAGGTGAAATTCTAAGAACCACCAAAAAACCGCAAGAAAGACGACTTCAACAACATATGGATTAAGACACCCAGACTTTAGATGAGAGCTAACTTGTCAGAAACAAAGTGTGAGGGGAGGACGTGTATCGTTTGGATGAGCTGTCTTTGATTCACCGATGGAGGGATTCCAGACAACCTAGAAACTTAAGGGTCTAATGTCTGTACATGCCTCCATGTGGGATCAGCCTAAACTCATGAGGTGGGCTAGACAGGGAGAAACATCAGGGCACAACTAGTGCTTTGTTGTCACAAAACACTTTATTTCCTCTATCAATTATTTCCCTGCAGGATGGGAGATATGATTCAAACAAGGAATCCTTTGGACGTATATCTGCGAAATGTTAGTTACTAAGAAAGTACATAAAACCAACTGATAGAATAAAGCACTTCATTATAAATATACCATTTCAGTGCACATACAACAGCGACCAAACTGTAACTCTGATCACAAGTCATTGTCTAACAATACGATGTCAAGCAGCTTATCCACAGTTTTAAAGAGTTTGAGAAGAATGGACCAAAAAAAGAGCAGCTTGGGAAATGATTTAAGTTTTAACGTTACGGTGACACAACTCATGCTTCACTGTGAGATGAAACAACATTTTGCAAAACTACTGTAATTCCATCTGGCTTGTCCTGGGGCAGAGATGCTCACATCTGTAGGATATAAAGGTATCAAGTCAAGTCCTTGTTATTTCTGCACATTTATGACCAGTAAAGGAATATAACTGGTGTTTTTAAATTGACCAAGTGGAAGTATTGTGGTTAAGACTCTATAGTGGTATTTATGATGTGACTTTAACTCATGTGGGTATGATATAAACCTGGCAAAATTATAGAAAATACTGCTGTACCTGGCTATAATACATAATAAGGCTGGGACCTTGCAGTAATATAAACTGTGGAGATACTCTAACTAATTCAGTATTATAACTAGGACCCTGTGGTTTTGTATATTTTGGAGATTTACATACCTAATTGAACTATCAAGGCTAAACCTTACAATAGTACAACGGTATGAAAACTTCAAAGTGGAAACAAAAACGTGTTAATGTGGAGAGTATATTGATAAATCGATGACTAAACTCGCCAAAAAAATCCAAACTAAATGCTTGTTATTCAGCAAAATCCTTAACAAAGAGTTACGGAGGTACGGGGATTGCTACAGCAACCAAAAGTCAGTCTGACTGCAAACTA